TCCAGGAATCCCATCAGGTTCTGGAGGTAAAGATCTAAAAAATAACCCTTCCTGCCTATGGCAGGGGACGGGCAAGGAACAGGGAGCATTGTGAAATACACCCAGAGCTTTCTCCCTAATAGAATCAGACGTTTAAGGGAAGGGACTTGGCCAGAGACTCATCTCAGCTGACAGAAGGACTTTCCTCTCAGTCCAGCCCCTCTAGTCTTACTCTCTCACCTTAGGTGGTATAAGGAACAAAACATTGTCATCAGGCAGAGCTTCAAGGAAGCAGACGGGTCATGCTGCAGGAGAGGGAATACGGAGACTGGGGAGTAAAGCTGTGCCCATGGAGAAACGCTGTAAAAGTTACAGCCTGAGATGTAGCCCCACTAGAAACTAAGGTTTAATGGCAACATTTTAGAATGCCTTACCACCAAACCAACAAAAACCCAGTGAAATAGCTGTGGCTTACAGCAGAAAGAGCTGAAGGCGTAGACTCTGGGAGTGGGGCACTTAGAGAAGCCCAAACTCAAGATGGGAAACCACAAAAGAACACAAATGATGTATCACAGAGCAGAATAGTATACTTAAAACCTATGTAATTAGCCAATGTCACCCCAATACATTTAATTTTAAAAACAGCACAAGAGGAACTTGGATCCTATGGCACTTATAACTAGAGCAAACATTAAGCACACTCCAACTTTTAGTTAGATTAACATGACTCTTACACTACAGTTCTATTTAGCAGTTTCTAGTATTTAGCAGTTTTAAATCAACATGGCCAACTTACACCAAAAAGTTACCAGTGATATATGTCAACTGTGTTTCAATAAGTTGGGAGAAAAAAATTAGAAGGATGTCAAAAGGAAAAATAGAAACAACACAGTTTGTAGGGAAAAGAAAAACAGAACCAGACTTGGAATATGACACAGATGTTGGAATTATTCGATGAGGAATTTAAAATAACTGATTAATATGCTAATGCTAATGTCGAAACTAGTTTTACTAATTCAAACAAATGTCAGTAATGTAAGCAGGTATATGAAAACTCTAAGAATCAAAAGAAATGATAGAGATAAAAAACAGTAATAGAAATGGAGAGTGCTTCTGATAGGCTCATCAGTAAACTCAACATGAGCTTCTATATTAATCATTAGAAACTTTCAAAATTAAAAATTTAGCAGGAAAAATAAAACAATATCAGCAAAACCGAACAAAGCATCCAGGAGCCATGCTACAATTTCAACAGGTGTAACATGTTTCAACAGGTGTAACATATTCATAATTGGAATATCAGAAGCAGGAAGTGAGAACAGAGCAGACACCATATTTGAGGTGATAATGGCTGAGAACTTTCCAAATATTAGTGGACAAACCACAGATACAGAGAGCTCAAAGAACATCAAGGAAGATAAATTTACAAAAACAAAAAACGAGAAAAAAGATACCTAGTCTTTTCATATTCAAGCTGCAGTGAAGCAAAAGCAAAGAGAAAATGTTGGGAAAACAAGAGAAGGGAAAAACAATCATCTTAACAACAGAGGAACAGCAGCCAAAGTAATACTGCTTATGTCACCTCCGTTTAGAACAATCTCTGTGTGCGATGGCTGCCCACTGCTCGGGAAAGCAGATTGCATCCCGTCGGCACAATCTAACAAGGCCTGAGGGGTCTGGCTCTGGCCTCGTGCTCTGGCTCTGGCCTCATCTTCAGTGAAACCTTACCCGCTGCCTTCCCATCTTGTAAGCCTCTTTCTGCTCCTTTTAATGCCACATTTCCCCAGGTCCCTGGGCTTCTGGGCATGTTCTTTTCTAAGTCTCCTTACTTCCTCTTGTCAGGTGACCCCTTGAACTCTTCCCCCTATTTCCCATGGGAAGCCTAACCCAGCCTCCCAGTCTAGACAGAGCACCTGGTTACAGCTCATCAACAACCCAGCCCAGTTGTGATGTTCGTTTACATTGTGCTTTTTTGTTTTATTTTTAAGAAAAAAAATCATATGTGCCCAGCAAAAAATGGGGACTAAATGAATGCTTGCTTTATAAATGGACAAATAGAATTCTTGCAGTTATCCTACTAGATCAGTAGTTATCAATTAAAGATACTTGGAGGAGTAGTTTAAATATTTAATAATACATTTAAAAATTCTTGAATGACCTCTTACCCTCTCCTGGGCATCCCTTTGGGGAGCCCCAGAAATTTGGGGAGAAGAAGACACTCATGCTCTCATCCACGTAGTTGATTGGGATATACGATCATGTAAACCAACAGAAAATTCAAAATGAAAACGTGATCTGGCAGAGGTATGCGCGGGGCGATCTCATAGGAGCTTTCCGGGTAGAAATCCTGCAGCGCGAGCAGACTGGGCTGTGTGTGCGGCAGCATTAGCAGACTGTGCACCCCTTTTGGTGCGGGAATCTTCGCTGTCTGATCATTGGTGCGTCCCCAGGGCCCACAAATGGACCTCACATTTAGTAGGTGCCCATTAATTTATTAAGAGAAGGACTTGGGGCTAGCTAAACACAGCAGAGGGATGAGTAACAGGGAATATTTCTAGGCAAAGGAAACGGTGTGTAACTCAGACTAACAGACACCATATATCACGCAGCTTCAGCCCGGAATACGAAATGGCTTCATTTAGATTGTAGGTGCTTTTCACTGAGAAAAGGGCGTTGGGAAGAAAAACATTTGGAGAAAGGGATATGAGTTTTAGATTTATTAAAATCCATGACATATTCAGGTGAGCAAACAAAATACCTTTGTACTCCCTCATAGTTTTGTCCACACTATAATTAACCTTTTGGACGGTTTCTTCTAGATCATAGTAAATAGATTCTATCTAAGTTAGTGGAATTTAATTAGGTTTTATGACAAAGATTTGTTATGTAAGTTCTAAGTTCTCTCCATCATACACAGAAGTTTTGCCATTTTGATCATTCAGATATAGTACAAAGTCAAAATTATACCCTTAAAAATACAATAAATTAAAATTGCAACCTTTCATACTATATTTGTACATGCTAATCATATTATTATTGGTAGTTGTTGTTACTGTTTATTATTGTTGTTGTTATTATTATTACTGGTGTCATTATTTGAAAGGGAGGTATTATTTCTTTGTCCATTGAACTGAAAGGTGAAAAAACCCTCCTGTTATTAGAATGCCTGTTGTTTCTGCCATTTCTAGCAGTAACCAGCAGGTGGTATCAAATAATTTTACATGTTTGTTCTACAGCAGTTTTTGTGCCCGAGATGTCTGAGACGTTTCCTCCCAAACTTTCACCCCGCACCCCAGTCACAAATACCCACACAAAAACATTTTTGGATATAAAAGACTGAAGAGGGATTTTATTTTATTTTTATTTAAATTTGTTTTAGTCCAGCGTGATAATTTTTCACACATGCACTGTTTCTTTTTAAGAGAGTGACAGTGCTTTATATGCAGCAACTTACTGTTGCTCTAACAAGTCTATGGGAAACACTGTTCCCAGTCCCCACTTTACAAAGGAGGCAACTGGCACAAAGAGGCTAGGGAATTTCCCCACGGTCACAAAATTAGGTCTTTGGCATCTGCCTTTGGTGTCCACGGTGATGTCTGTGCTGAAATCACTTCCCCTGATTTGATTTTTCTCTTTTCAAGGTGTTTTCACTCAACACCTGTCATTCCTTTACGGTTCTATCATTCACTCAGCTACTACAAATTGAAATTTTTGACAGTTACACCTTAAAATGATACTACATAGAGTAACACCAGCATATAAAAAAGCTGTATGTTAGCTATTACCTGTGTATGGGGAATGTTCACATGTTTCAGATATATGTGTACAATTTTAGTGCTAAAAGCATTTTGAGGTACTTGCCTTTTATTTCACTGAAAAAGAAACATAAGCATCCCCCAAAAGCATTGAGTTACAGTGGTCACACAGAGGTGCTAAAGGAAGAAACTTTCTGCTAAAGAAATGTGGGAACATCGTTTCTGGAGGCCCTTCTAGGTAGAGAAAAATGCACATTGTTGGGATACAGGCATGTGGGAGGTTTGTGACCTTCCAGGGTAAGTGCACTCCTTATTTAACGCCTAGCTCGCTCTGTTCTCAGCGTGAGGGGACTGGGCTGGGCTTCACTAGCAGGCAGAAGAGCTGCCCAGAGACTCATCTTTCCAGCAACAGAAAAAAGGGAATCAGGGGAGGGCAGGAGGAAGGAACTTACAGTCAGTGGTAACAGTTTCCTTGTCTAGTGTACAAAATCAGGTAAAAAAATACAATAACATTTAGAGGTGGGCAACATTTGAATATGATGAAACACAGCAGATTCATACTGAAATTGCCCTGATATTTTATTGGCTCAAGTGACTACCAACTGCACAAGGGAACTAGAGTTTGTTTAAATCAATAGAAATTTAAAATATTCCTCAAAAGTAGTGATTTACATGTTACAAGGTTTTAGTTTTAATGTTTTTTTTGAATTTTCTATACATTTTAAACTTTATTATGGAAGAAATGATGTCCTTCCTGTGCTAAGCAGTCTGGAATTAACTTCATAGTGTAGTGTTCACACTGGGGATTAGGAACTTCTGACTTGTAGTTCCATTGTAATCATTGCTGAGAAGGATCGGTCCGTGGTCTAGCATGATTCACATAAATAGTGAACTAGCTAATATGAGACTTTATGTAGGGTTAAAAAAATCGATGTTAACAAGCTGTAGGTCAATTTAAAGTGACGGCTTTCCCTCATCAGAAATTCTACCTGAGCCTCACCCGTCCTTTTACCCTCAGCTGTCCTGAAGAGAACAGAGGGACTCTTACAAACAAAAATGAGAACTGAAGGCATTTCAGGGTCATCTCTCTTGGTAGTTTTTTGTTTTTGTTGTTTTTGTTTGTTTTGTTAGTTTAACTTAATTTTTTTTAGTGTAATAATGTGACCCTGAAAGTTGCTTCAGAAACAAACAAGCAAACAAATACTGCTTTCCACGCTGTCCTGCTAGGACCCGTTTATGTTGTGGTTCTAATCTTTTCTTCTGTAGGTGTGACAACTGTCCTGACAATGACAACTCTAAGCATCAGTGCTCGGAACTCTCTCCCCAAAGTGGCTTATGCAACTGCCATGGACTGGTTTATTGCTGTTTGCTATGCATTTGTGTTCTCTGCCCTCATTGAATTTGCAACTGTTAATTACTTCACCAAAAGAGGATGGGCTTGGGATGGGAAGAGCGTAGTAAATGACAAGGTAAGTGATAACTTCCTCCTTTCCATGATTAAGGCACTCCCCGAGAGATTTAGCAGATTTAGCATCTGTGTGTATGAATCATAACGATTTCTTTGAAAGGGTGCTCTTGCCTGAAACCCTGTAGGAGTGCTCGTGGTAGTGTACGTCTTTAGAGCCACTCCCTTGCATCTGGTGAGCTCTGACTCTGTGTCAGGAGCCATGATAACTTTTTTTTTAACACATACTCTTTCATGTAATCTTTTTTTTTAAAGATTTTATTTTTATTTATTTTTAGAGAGGGAAGGGAGGGAGATAGAGAGAGAAACATCTATGTGCAGTTGCTGGAGGTTATGGCCTGCAACCCAGGCATGTACCCTGGCTGGGAATTGAACCTGTGACACTTTGGTTTGCAGCCCGCGCTCAATCCACTGAGCTACGCCAGCCAGGCTCATGTAATCTTTACATCAACTTTGTAACTGAAGTCTCATATTAATTCTTTTTTATTCTGACGAAGAAGCTGAAGTTTCATGAAATTACTTGCCCACGCTCACACAAACAGTTAATAAGTATAATGGAACCCAAGTCTGATCATTAAGTTCACACTCTTAAACACCACATTGATTTATTTATTAAAAGTGGGTGCTACCTGTACCTGCTATAGAATTCATGCCTTATGTGTGGGTTGAGTTATTACCCTTCACCTACTTCCATCTCTGTTGCTTGGATGTAAAAGTCTATATATATATCATTGTTATTTCCCCCATGTTGTATGAAATAACTGAGTCAGTGCTGGAATGCCTAGACATTTTAGGTTGTTCATGTAGTCTGTAAGACAAAAGTTATTTAGGTTCAAGATAAACTTTTTTTGTGGGTTGTTGGTGCCCATTTTTAGGTTTCCAGTATGAAAGTTAGTGGTTAGTAGTTTTGTGCATTGATATACCAGCTGTTTCCTTTCTTATTCTATAGGTTATTATTCATCTACCTTAAGAGAAGGCTTTGGATATACCACAATATGCAATAAAGTTTCCTTAATAAGAATAAAAAGTTCTACTTGTAGGATCACTTTTAGCAATCTATCTACTTAAATGCTCTTCTAGTACATTTGGAATAATGTATTTGTTGATTTCATTTCTTTTTCAGTTATTTCAATATAAATATTTTCCTCATTTCTATGTCCATGTTTCAGCTTAAGCATACAAACATGTTATAGTTTAAAAGTCTTGCTCCTTTCCCATCATTTTGTAAACAAAGCTTTAATGAGTTCTGGTTTATTTCATTTATTTTGTAGGCTATATTTTGCAGACAAGTAGCCAATGAGCAAACATTAAGTTTGATTAAGTTTCTTTGTTTAACCTCCAGATTATTTCAGCATTTCCATTTCATTTTATTGTTAATTTATGTCCTCAACCCCCATGTGGTAAGCTGCTTTGTCATTACTATCTATGAAATTACTTCTTTTTAGTGATATTAGTTAGCACATGCACTTTCATGCTAATATATTTTTGAAGATAAGATGCTAGTTGGTCATTTGTGAGTGTGTCACAAATGGTAAATAGTAGTTTGTGGTATAAATTCCCCATGTCAAAATTCATTAATATATTTTAACGCTGTGAGTATGCCAATCAAACTGGCATTGTGTTGTGGCAAGTCAAAAAGTATGCCTTCTCAACCTCTGAACTTGGAAAAAAGAATTACCTATATATGCAAAAAAAAAAAAAAACAAAACCCCACAACAACCAACAATCCACAACCCATTTTTGAAAATACATTTTAAAAGCAATAACCTCCATGAATGAATACTGGATTTAAGTCTATCCACATATCAAATCACACATAGTGGAGAGAAATCTAGGTCAAAATCATTGATGCTACAACATAACATGTAGGAAAACAAATAATAAAGTTTATATTGTTTCAGTTCTTAGTGGTTCAAGTTTAGTGATGAAGTTAAAGGGTACATTACTTCAGGCACAATGCTTGTTTTTATTTCTTATTCATAGCTAGAGTGCCAAGTACAGTGCCAGGTATGAAATTTTTGTTGAATAAAAAATAAACAAATTTCTGATATTAAATCTGGCTATGTAGTAATGTGATATCAATGAGAAGTTTTAAAACTTTCCCATGATGAATTTACCAATGGGTGCCCAATACAATTCCCTGATTCAAATGACTTTTGGGATGTGTTTCTTAAACCTACATTGGAAATTTCCAGGTCCTTAGACTGGAAAAAATTCAAGTAGAATACCCTAAACTAACCCTTCACATATATGAATGAAATGCAATCTACCTCTGCTTTATCTTTCTTTCAATTTAATTTTTAAGTGAAAAATAATAATTTTTTAGAAATAGAGTTTTAATCCACCTGCCATTTTATTGGTGTCCTTTTATTCTAATCAGACTGACGAAGTCCTCTGCTTTCTTCAACATGAGGAAAATCAGTTAAGGCATTTGTCAATACAAAAAGCACATGAAAACTTGAAAATTTGTTAGTTGGCAAGTATTAATTTGCTTTATAAGAGTAATCATTGATACATACATATTAATGTTATATTTTTAAAAGTAATATGTATTTGACATAGTTTACATGTAGATTATACTCTGATGGTCGTTAAAGTTAAATAAATAAATATCCTCAAGTTACATTCACACTACTTTTGAGCGCTCTATTGGAAGATAAATCCTACCTTGTTTTGTAAGCTTGGTCAAAATTGTACATTCCTTTTAGGCTCAGGTGTAAAATCACACAACAGAACCTTGTTATTGTAAAAATGTGGTGCTGGATCAAATGGTTCAATTCCAAGTTTTTAAGTCTTTCCATACACAAAAGTATCTACTTATGTAACCCTCTGAGTTCTTCTGGAACCTTCCCTTATGCCCAGTGTTTTCCACTTGCCCAAGACTAATTATTCAGTGTCCTTGCCTTCTTGTTCCTTTCTCAACGTTCATCCATTGGTTATTATTTTTTCTTATTTATTCAAAGCCCGCTTTTGTTTTTTAATTGCCTCCTTCCTTTTAGTTTAAGAAGATGCTTAATATGCTCACCTTACCATAGAGACAGAAATAAAAATCTCTCCAGATCCTGTGTCACCCATTCTCCTATCCTCAGAGTCTACCCTCTTTTTTACCCTTTGAGCTTTTTGAACGCATTGCTTACACTGCCATGTCTCAATTTCAATGTAATCTTCAACCCACTATAATCTGATTCCCTTTGTATTTATTGTCCTGTCACCAAAGGATACCAGCAACCTCCACATTTTCAGATCAGATAATAATTTTCCATTTTTCTCAATGGAAACCCATTGAATTCTGCTATATTTGAGAAATCCATTCCAGGCCCAAGTTAGTGACATTTTCTCATCTTTTCCTCTTTAAAATGAGGTTTAGAATATCAACTTCCTTCCCTCAAGTTCTGGCAGCTGCCACTATTCATTCTATTCTTTGAAATTCTCTGCCCGAGTTCAGAGTGGATCCAGTCTCCCCAGCATCTGCTCTTGTTTATCCCCAAACAGACAATCATTTGGCTTTATTTCATGTTGCTTTAGTTTTTACTATTCACTGTGTGTTCTCACTCTAAGGGCTTTACTGACAGTATTTGCAGGAATGTGTGCCTCACTAAGCAGACTGTCCAGCTATTTACTGTCTCCAAGTAGATAGTCTTGCCTCATCCTCAGTACAAATGCCAACCCTCAGGAAGTTTCTGAATTCTTGCCCACCCCCAAATGATTAGGTCTCTTTGTAGTGTGCCTAGTACCCTCTCCTTTTGCTTCAGAGCCTTTATTATAACTTGTAATTGCATATTCAAGTCTCAATGCCTTTGTTGATCATGAAAACAATGACTATGATTATTTTAATAAGTCATTTATCCCTGTCCATTTGCACAAGATTTTGTATAAATTAATTGCTCAATAAATATGGTGTAGATTAATGAAGTAAGACAAATCAAATTTACAACCAACTTCTTTGTTTTACCTCCCAGGTATTATCTGTAAGTGTAACTCATACTTTCTTCTGTCATCATATACCCAATGTGTCCCTTAGGCTCTTATGCTGGAATATAATAACTCGATTTTTACATATCTTTTTTTAATAAAAGAAACAACAAATAAAAATAAAACTCCTAAATTTATTGTTTCAATCCTCCCAAAGCAGCCTATTTTTTATCTGTACCTCATTTCATGGCAAAACCTAATATCACATGCCAACAACTTGGAGGAACCCCTTAACATCACCAGTCATTAAACGGTGTCCACTCTCTACCCTATATGTCATAGATTATGCCTTTGCCATCTCTCATTTTTGAATATCTTTATTCCTTATTATTTCTAATCATTTCTGCCTTGAGTTCATTCTATAAATTAGGTCCAAAGTTATCTTCCTAAAACTAAAATCTGATTGTTTAATCTTTCAGCTCTTTAATTAATTATTGAAGGCAACTCTTCAAGCAGCTTGGCTAATATGGGTCCAGGTTTTCTCATCTACATTTTTCTATTTACATGACGAATAATAAGGGCACTATTATTTGCTCTTCATTGTGCACTTACTACTATGTGCCTGGGAATATCTCCAGTTTGGAAAAGAAGTCTATAGGTCTGGGCACACAGAGTGTTGACCAGGATCACACATCCACTAAGTGGTAGACTCAATATTCAACACAGATCTGAAGTCCATGCTCATAGTACTCCTCAGGCCATTCCACCTCCCCCTCCAGATGCCCCTGCTTCTGCACATCTCTGGGGCACTAGATGCACTAATAATCCCTTCTGTTGCAATTCCCTTGCCCTCCTTCCCTAACTAATGAACTTTCATTTATTCCATAAAATCCATCTGATTTTCCTTAAATCTTAAAACTTACCAAATGCATCTAATTGCCAATGTGTTTCTACAGAACCTGGTACAAGTTATTTTATATAACCTCATTAAATTACACATTTATTGTAAATAAATCTGTTTTTAACAGCAGGTTACATTCTCTAAGAAGATAATAGCTTTGTTTTATTCATCGTTTTTTCTGTCATTCCCTA